TCTTTCAATGGATAGGCCCTTTTTGTTAGGCCGTTGTGCTTGTCATCACAAATAGTACGCCCTTTGCTAAGCCTTTTCGCAACGTCAAATAAATTCAAAACAAATCATCGGGCCTGCCTCAACCAGTAGGGCCCAACTTTGGTTTGAACATTTTCAATTATCGGCCTTCTACGTCACTAGGCCTTTCAATGAAATGAAATAAATTAATGGTTGGCCGTTTTAGCGTGAAACAAAAAATTTCGTTGATCGGCCGTTTCGAAAATCGAGTTATTTTTAATGATTTTTCTCGATTATGTGGAACTTTCCTACACGATTAGTATCTATCAAGCGGTGCTAAAGAATGGTATCAAAACCCGATTTATTTACGTTTTGGACATAGGCCCATTTCAAATGTTACTCGAGAAATAGCCATCCTCACCTACAAACAGATTGCCGAACAACACGGTAACCGCAAAATACCCAATAATGACTACAAAGTAAGCATTTTCGAGGGAGACTCGGACTACCCATTTATGAGTATTTGTTACTCAAAAATGAATACTTACTACTTGTTTTTTAAGTTTTACTAATTTAATGGGTAGTCTCAGTTTCCCTCGAAAATTCTTACTTTGTATTCATTATTGGGTATTTTCCGGTTACCGTGAAGTGTAAATTCTTCCAACCATGTGACTCTGCAGGTAGACTCGGAACTGACAGCAGTAGAAGGAACGAAGGATAAACTGAAAGACAGTCAAACAAATTTCTTTACCGAGAGAATCCGATTGAATTCGTAAAAACCAGCTCACCGATTTAAATCAGTCCAAATGACCACAGCAGTTTTACAGTATTTGCGAGTCGCTTGTTACATTATAATACTTTTCTCCATGTAAATACCAATTTAAATGTGTCAATTTATATTTAAAGCTAAAAAATAAAAAGTGATTCTTTCTGCAAAATTCTCACTCAGCTCACTCAGCAGAATGCAATCGTAAAAAGCTCAGCTGCTTCGTGTTTCAACCGGTACGTTTTGCTATCAACGTTGAGAGAAAAACAAATTCAAACGAGTGGAAGCGCAGAACACATTTTTTCCAGTTCTGTGAAGGCACTGGATGCGTATCCCGTTGACATGGAAACAGTGTACCGAATTGCGAAGTTCGAAACGGAAAAATCAATGCAGTATTCATTCGGACCAATTAATGTTCCGCTATGGGAAGGTCCATTATTTATGTCACGTAAATTTTGCCAAAAAAAACTGGGAAAACTGTGAAGGGAAAGCAAACGTTGCCCATAAACAGGAGCCACTATTTTTCTACGAGTGTGGTGTTCAACTAGACTGGCAGGAGTGTATAATGAAACAACGGAAGATGTAATTGATAAAGATGCCAGAACAGAAATACATACTCAAAGCACAGGATCACTCACTAATCAGGTAACACCAGAAGAACTCATCACGGACCCCCTACAACAGTGTTTCAAAATTGTGTTAATAACATAACACCACAGACAAACAGACGTAACTCTTCATTGTGTATCTTCGTTCATGCATTTAACGGTTGATTTGAATATTATCAGTTCCGTGAACTACTCGCCGCAGCGCTGGCATCGGATCACTTTGACGTTTCTATATATTCTATAGAACTTTTATGCAATATTGTTTACGAGTTAGCGAGCAAGCTTGTTTTCCGCGAGAAGCCAGAGAGATGTCGTTACTGAGGTTATATGTTTTGATATACTATGTTTTCAAGAACAAGTTTGTCAAAGAGTTACGTCTGTTTGTCTGTGGTTGAACCTTACCAAACATACGAAGCGAAGAAACAAATTTAACTGAAAAAATAACTTTTTCTTGTCTGCATTGCATTCTAAGCAGATGAATAACTATTCATCGCTTAGATTTCAGAGCAGACAATAAAGTTTTATCATTGGTAATACTTTTCTTCTACAACATGTCCATCTTGCAATCCATGAACGAAGAAAATTCAATTGGATTTCTAAAATAAAAAATTTCATAATTTCATTTCATAGTTATTTTTGAAATTAATTTTTTCTAAGTGCGTGAAAAGATTTTTTTAAATATTTTGATCAAAGTTCAGACAGTTTTCTACCACTCATTGGCTATCATCCCATTGACTTCATCATTTTATCCAGCTTATTTTACAAAAATCGCACAAATTTGGCTTAATATATCAAAAATACGATTCAGATTATGAAAACCGTAGTTTATCATATACAAACAATATTGTATAAATTACCATGATGAACCATAAAACCTTAACTAGTCTGTCATTATCAGCTTTCCTCTATAATGAAACAAGAAGCTTTGATTGACACAAATTAGTATAAATATCCTATTTATCGTACAAGACAGTTACAGTTATCTAAAATATGAGTTCATGACTTATTGTCACCGTCAAATGATAACGAGTAATAATGAGTTAAATCTAAATACAAATTAAATTGAATTTAACAAGAAGTTAAACCACCATATCAAGTATGAATTTTTCTTATAACAATTGAATAATTATACACTGACAGGCACTGATGCCCACCTTATCATTTTTTGAATTCCTTTAATTTATTTGCTTCAAATTAAATTAAACATACTGTAGTCTTTTTTGATATCTTATTTTTATATTCTTTTAAAGTTACACTCAGTGTTGGTAAAATCATCAATCGAATGATATTTTTCCACTCTCATAAGCTCTTTATATCACGCGTGATATTGGAACAAAACATAATGCTTGATATTGATTTTACAAGCTCCACTTATATTGCGAGACTATTCACAACGTGCAAAAATCAAGCTGACAGTTAACTCGACACAAAAATGTTTCCTATGAACATCGTTTTCGTAGAAAGAGAAAGTATAGTTTGCTATCTCTTTTTACTCTTCACCGATGGCAGACATGAAGTGACTGCTGCCAGGCGTTATTAAAGTTTCGGTTGCGTTCGGGTGTAAAGCAAAAATCATGAAACTCAATATCACCACAGTTTGTTGAGATTTGCAACTGGTGAGTTTTGTTAGCTTGATATTCTGAGCTGCAATATCACAGCTTGCTAAATCAAACCCAGTGGTTTGCTTGTTGATTGTTGTCTACGAAAATCAAGCGTTATCTTGAACATTGGTGAGATTTAATTTTTTGATATTTTCCCAACACTGTTTCACTTTTGGAATACTAAAAAAAGAGTTTTACTTATAGAAAACAAAATCAATTTGTATTGAAAAAAAAACAAGGATAAGAAAAGAAAAGATAAATTAAAGTAAAAGAAAAGCATTTTAATAATTAATGTGTCCTCCTTTGGCCTTTGTGACCTAATGCAGGCGCTTCGGCATGCTCTCCACCAGATTTTTTAAGTGCTGTGGATCTAGCTCTTCCCAGGGCTCCAGGGCTTCAAAATAGTTATTTTTATTAGTAACACCAGTTTTTTCAACCCTGGCATCGAGAATCGCCTACAAATTCTCGATGGGGTTGAGGTCCGGGCTTTGTGGAGGCCCTTCCAGCGGCGTTTGGCTTTGTTTGCCTTGCTGGTAAATGGGCGCTTCCGGGCAACTTTGCTATTCAACCCCTGTGCTACGAGACGGCGACGAACAGTTCGCCCGGAAACTGATAGCTGAAGGGTTTCCTATATTTCGCAGCAGTTACCTTCGGGTTCTTCTTGACTTCGCTCATAATCTTGGTGAACGTTCTCGAATCCATTTTGCACGTCCTGCCTCTGCTAGGGCGATCCACCACTGATCCGAACTTTTTTAGTTTCAGAATAATATTCCCAACCGCTGCCGCTGATACTGTGGTTCCTCAGCCCGGTGCGATTCACACCACGAACTACCAATTTTCAGACACACAAGGGAATTGCTCTCGAAACTACTCCATTTTTTTCAACTGAATCAAATGCAATCACGTTTATAAATGCTTCAAAGCATATCAAAATATCAAAACATAAACAATTAAGGGGTTTTCCAAAGGAAATTTATCGAAAACATATCGATTGTTGAATTCGGCACTTTTGTTTTTTAGACTATTGTTTTTTCAATACAAATTTATTTATTTTTTTCTTTAAGTAAAACTCTTTTTTTTCAGTATTTCATAAGTGAAACATTAAAAGAATATAAAGAATACGAGATCAAAAAAGGCTACAGTGTGTTTATTTTATATTGAACCAAATAAATGAGAGGAATTCAAAAAATGATGGAGATTTTGCCTATCAGTGTACCTTTATGCATCGAAAACCAGACACTCTTAGAAGTTAATTAACAATGCCTACCATGCTTACGAAAAACATGAATTTTAACGTGAGCTTATAGCATCATTCAGAATTATCACAAATGTTTATTGTGTTGTAAAGTAAAAATAATAATTAATTAAAAATGTAATGACTGGTTTAATGAACCAATTGGTATTCGGAGCATTGTTGTATCAACAACCGAAACAAATTGCAATGTATGATTCTTAAGAAAATTTAAAGCACCCATATGCAGGGTTACTTCCACTCACTTGCTATAAAAAAATGTTTTTCAGAATTATGAAATCATGAGATGGTATAGTGCTAATTAGTTCTTGTAAGTTACAAGATGAGGACGTGAAGTATGTGTTTGACACATAAAATCTGTCAATATTGCTTTCAGTGCGTCACAATCAGCAATTTTACGACCCGTGATTGCTCACTCTGAGTGAACGCTCACGAATCATAAGATCGCTTATTGTGACGCTCTGAAAGCAAAATTGACAGGTTTTATGAGTCAAACACATACTTTAAACCCTCTTCTCGGTACTTACAAGTACAGCATATCATAATTTCATCTAATGATTGCATAATTCCGAAAAATATGTTTGGAGTGAGTGAGTGAGTGGAAGCAACCCTGCTCATATGTAATTTGTTTCCGTTCGTGGCGATTAACTTCTGGTTCAGTTCTAGTGATCTAGAAAGGACGGTTTTCATTAACAGGATTACAATAAGACCATCAATAGAAAACAATTATCTACATACCTTTTCTTTACAATTTTTCATTTCATGCCGCCAAATAGATCAAATATTCCTTTCATGCGTTTCAAAAATCACAGGAAGAAATCGATAAAATGAAGATAACTATCAACGATCCAAAGTGGCGCCCCCCTCCGTTGCATGTGGTCAATGTGAGTGGATTCTCGTGTCCGTCCTGTGTCCACGCACGTTTGTGGTGATTAATTGTCAAACGAGTGCATAATAATTGTCACGCTGCTAGCTCATTCATTAATTCAACCTAAACTGTGTGTCATTATAATCAGACCCATTCAACTCTTATCATGCAAACGAATCCTTGATGAATGGCAAGCGGAATGAGATTATCATACCATTTGTAAATCCGTTACGTTGAAGCTCTGATTTGACTAAATGAGTGAAAACTGTGTGCTTTACCATCCTTTCATTAATTAATAGAAAAAATGATTACATCATTCGTTTTACACTTTCCACAAACCGTTTCTGAGCATTTCAAAGAACTTCACATTGCTGTACTTGTAGCTTCTGCTTCATCATCACCTTGCGATTCCTTATTGACTACACGGCCGATGATATCGACTCAGTTCAGTGGTTTTTCACTCATATACTCGATTTTCCTCGAAAATCTACTCGAATATGAGGAAAATCGACGTGTGATCTACATTTTTGAGAATTTGAGTAAACTGAACTTAGATATGAGCCAGATTCAACGGCCGTGTATGTATGCACTTCACCAGAAACCCTAAACAATTTTCCACTTCTCACCTTGTCAATGCACTCCCATAGGCAATGGTGGCACATGGTCGTGTCGAGCTACTAGCTCACCCACTGAGCCAGAAATATCTTCAAATGAAGTGGAACTCCTATGGAAAGTATTTCCATCTGGCAAATCTTCTATTCTACAGCGTGTTCCTGCTCTTCGTTACAGTTTTCACCTCTCAGCTAATGACAAATACACCGGTAACGCTGACCTCATACATCAACGTAAGTAACCTTCCGATGCAGCACTCTCTCCGTCTAGGCGACAAAAGAAAACTTGTTAAAAGCATCCGAAGTCAAATCACGTCTAACAGGTCTTTATTATAAATTCCACTCACAGGAAAACATAACACTAGCCAGTATCCCAGATGCTGAGCATGACCATCCTCAACCGATAATGATGGCCGCCCGGTCTGAACCTAGACAACATATGCAATACCGCAATCACACTGTCAACGCAGCCGAACAGATGCCTATCACAACTGCAACCCTGGTCTCGGGAGTGGCGATCATTATTTACATATTTTGCAATGCACTCCGAGAGATTCTGCAGGCTTACCAACAAAAATGGCACTACCTGATTGAACCGATCAATTTGGTGTCGTGGATTCTGTACATATCTGCGCTGATTATGGTGCTGCCCATGTTCAACAACGGACTATGCTACAGTGGTAATTTTTCTGCTGCTTCAGTTACGGTGTTTCTATCGTGGTTCAATTTGCTACTGTTTCTGCAACGATTTGATCAGGTGAGTAAAAGAAACGCGATATGTGTTTGACTAAATTAATAAAATATTTCCACAAAACTGAAAGTTAGCACAACTTTTTCTCTCTAAGGTTTAGAAAGTCAAAATTATTATTCTAATTAAGTAGTTTATTTCAACGACTCAATCGCGTTAGCTCTACCGGGTTCGAGAATTCATTGAATCGTTACCAAATTTACTTAACTCTAGGCATAGTAGGAGTTGGACCGAATACTCGCGGCTTAATTCAGGTTAGATGGGTACATTGTAAAAGGATAGAATCAGCGAAGGATCATGGAAGTTACATTACATTAGTCAGGTCAGCACTGGGTCTATTTAGAATTTAGCGGCACATTCTTATAATTGTGTTGCTAAATGTTTCACAAAATTTGGATCATATTGATATGTTTTATGGATCATTTACACATTTTTAGGAGTTTTACTAGGGTTATATAGATCATTTGGGTGTTTTTAAGGAGCATTTTTAAATTTTAAATAGATCATTCAATATTTAGTATATAAAAAAGTATGTTTGCCACTTCGTTGTCTCATAAGAGCGTTGTCACCACACGCAAAACAAATGGCATCAAATGTAAGGGTGGGCGTCTTTCATATTCTGCATGGTTTCCTACAACGAATGTTATGTCAGTTCTTACAATGAACTAAAGCGTACAAACAAGTTTTTCCCTAAATTAATATTTTCGTTTAAAACCTTCACGAGACGATTTTCTAGCCACAGTGAATTTGAAGAAATAAGCATTATTCAAACATTTAACAATCATAAAAATTACAAAATTATTTTAAAAACCTTCGGATGACCACAGTACAGAATGTGTTATTGCGATGAAATATTGCATAGTCTGTTAATTTGTATGCAAAGCTGTAACATAATTTTAAATTTCCCTTCCCAGAGCTGCTTCTCTGGCATCGGTTGCATTGGTACTCAGTACGGAATACAAGATCGACAAATCACCATATTGCTCTACTATAAAAAAAATGATAGATATGCTTGGTGAAAACTTTCTCTGCTACAATTTTGTTTCAGACTACTTTTCGATAAAATATAAGGAACAAAAATTATTAACTTTTATTAACTCTTTATTTGTTCCAAGTTCAAAATAAATTACATTCGCTCCAGTTACTACAGTAACTTACCAGCCTCAATTGTTATGATATATATCTAAGTGTTTTTTTTTTATATTGTTGCCTTGTCAATTCAGTATTTTAACCAGGTCAGCATAACATGGCATGTCAGTATAACAATTGAAATCTTAAAACTATAAACTAACACTAAATCTTATAAGTATAAAGGGAATTAATCATTGCAAAACGATTTTTGCCTGAAGTTATTAATTATTTTGTTGGACATTTCTTCTAAAGTCTTGAGCATGAGCATGAGCATGATTGACCGCCCACGGTTGCTACTCTGTTATTGCCAGACCAGCTGTAATTACACAGAGAACCAATAGACGATGCTTGGGACTAGCAATCATCCTCAATGTGTAAAAACAGATGATCTCGAATTAGGCAATACGCAGGTCAACAAAGGAATGGGTAGGAATGTGTTGACGTGACACTCGCTTTGATGGAAGCCGAGGAGTCCTCTGCACTTCCACGAGGAATCACAGGGATGTTGGGTAAGAGGGTTGGGCAAGCCACTGCAACCGACGATCTTTGAAATCCTAAAACTAGAAGCTACGAAAAAGTACTTAGGCCTTCATTAAGATCCACTTTCATGCGACGTTCAATGTTTCGATTTTCTCTTTACGCATGGTTCAGACAGTCATTTTTTTTTAACTAGTTCGTTTATTTGGTAGGCTCAATCGCGTTAGCTTTACGGAGCCGATAGTTCATAATTCTTTGTTTGTAACAAAATTCACTTAATTCTATGTCTAGTAGGAGTTGGGCCGAATAGTTGCGGCCTACTCGAGATTAGAGAGGTACATTGTCGAAGGATAGGATCAGGGGAGGAGCTTGGGGGTAAGGTTTCGTTGTCTCATCAGAGTGTTGTCGCCAGTATGAATGGTAGTGCGGTTCTAGTTTCATCTGGAGTTCGACCGGCTTTGGTGACCAGTGGGTGACGATGAGACTCATCGAGACGGGGGACAAGACAAACAAAAACTATTAAAGAGAGAGAAAAGACAAAGGAATTAAATTCTTATACTAGACATTTAAAGAAACACATAAACCGATTGCATATAGCAGATATCGCGAGTTCCCAACACGTCTCTGATAGGAACATAGGGTTGTCTTCCTTGAGCCTCAAGAGTATTCAAAAGTCGCTCTCTGGCGGCGTCATTATCCGTACATTGCCAAACTGCGTGATCGATGTCGTCGTAACCGTTTCCACACCGACAGATGTTGCTGTCCACGATGTTTATTCTATTGAGATGAGCATCTAGCGAGTAGTGCACAGTGGTCCAGAATGCAGATTTAGGTGGAATGATATGTTTTGAGCCTGAAATTGAAACTTTAGACTTAAAGTCTCTTCTACAAAGTTGTTCCTTGTAGTTAGGCCCTTATTTTTATGACAATGAATTCTAGGGTGGTTCTTATTATCATTAAAATCAAAAATCTAACTTTTTTGTTTGAATGAATTAAGGTATACATTCTTCGACAAAGTTATAGCTGAGCTAGTTTCAAGCAACTTTGTTGAAAATAACTTTTTTGTATCTCTTAAATTGGCCGATTTAGAGCTATTTTCTTGAATTGAGTTAGGGTGGCGCTAAAAAAAACAGTTTTTTTTTTTAATTATTAATTTATTTGATTAGGCTCAACCGAATTAACTTTACAGAGCCGAGTATTCTTGTTCACTATACAATACATCTTAAAACTACAGTCAAAAGGTACATCACAATAAACATTTTATCTTCGGCTATCCAATAAGCCTCCTCTACCAGAACGGGAGCCGCTTCCAGTGGTTTGATTGTATGGCAGTTACGCCAACGAGGGTCAGAGCGCTTCCATTGCAGCAATGGACGCAAAACGTGGTCAGCACTCACACTCACATCACAAAACGGTTGCTTTCCAAAGTCGACGACGCATCGACCGAAAGAACTGCTGATGAAGAACAATGAGGAGAACCACACAATGGTTGCTGCCGAGTAAACAGACGATCGCGTAACACACATTGAGAGTGGTCTGCTTCTGTCGACAGCCAAGTGAACACTGAAAAAAAAAAAAAGTTATTTTGCTCTAGTTTTCTTATTTCAAATTTCTCCGCAAAGGTGTCTTAAAATGACTTTTAGATCTTTAAAAGACGTAAATTTTCGTTTCAGGAAGCTTTTCAATATCTTTCGCCTATAAAAAGTTATTGACGTTTTTATACTAAAAATATGCACCTTTTAAATGGTAATATCTCTGGTTGGGGCAAACAAAAATAGTTTTTTTACGGCATTTGAAAGGGCGTATGTTATTCTCAATAATATGAAAAAAATGGAGGTATGTTATTTTTTAAACTCGTATAAAATCAATTAGAATTTATTCATCTCTTTTACTATATTTGGGTATATCTTTTTTATTAGAAGAGATAAAGGCAACAAATTCAGCTATAAAACATTCGTCTTAAAGAGTTTTAAAAGTCTCTAACATACGCCCTTTCAAATGCCGTAAAAAAACTTTTTTTTTTGTTTGCCCCAACCAGAGATATTAACATTTGAAAAGTGCATATTTTTAGTATAAAAACGTCAATAACTCTTGATCGGCGAAAGATATTGACAAACTTTGTGCAGCAAAAAATCTAAAGATCTAAAAGTTATCTCAAGACACCTTTGCTGAGAAATTCGAAATAAGAAAAATACAGCGAAAAAACTGTTTTTTAAGAGCCACCCTAACTGAATTCAAGAAAATAGCTCTAAATCGGCCAATTTTAGAGATACAAAAAAGTTATTTTCAACAAAGTTGCTTGAAATTAGCTCAGCTATAACTTTGCCCAGAAATGTATACCTTAATTTATTCAAACAAAAAAGATATTTTTTTTTTTTTAATGATAATAGGAACCACCCTAGAATTCATTGTCATAAAAATGAGGGCCTAGCTATAAGGAACAACTTTGTACAAGAGACTTTTAGTCTACAGTTTCAATTTCAGGCTCAAAACATATCATTCCACCTAAATCTGCATTCTGGACCACTGTGTAGTGGTTGGACATAAGTCTACTCATCACACGAATGAAGTCACGACTTAAGTCCAAGCCTTTAAACCACGCTCTCGAAGAAACATTAGGAAGAATTGAATGTAACCACCGTCCAAGATTTCCATTGTCTCAATCGGTTTGCCAACTCGAAAGGGTATTCTGACGCAATTTATCGTGTGAAATTTTTCTGACGCAATTCATCGTGTGAAATTTGCCTATCACTAAATGCGCCTTCCTGCGCGCCCACCTTTGCGAGAGTGTCCGCCTTCTCATTGCCTGGGATTAAGCAATGTGAGGGGACCCATACAAAGGTAATCATATATCAAGAGCAAATTTTCATTACGTCGAATGTAACAAAGGTAAACAAAGTCGAGCTATCAGTGTCAATCGATGCTCCTGCTATTACACTATATACTGTCCGAATATAGGATCACATCCCATTTTTAAATTTATTTACCAGCCGAATTGCTTTTTGACGTAATCACCTTCCGATCAAAATAGTTTTCAATGTTACTTAAGTCACCCGATTTCTATGGAGATGCCGTTTGACTTAAGTAACAGCACTGAGAAACCCGTGAAAAGTGTACTTTCGTCGTTTTGCTTTCTCATTATTAAAGTGAATAAATCGAACTGTTTGTTGCTAAGATGATTTCGGTGGTCATAAAATGATGAATGGGCTGCACGTAAGGAGACGTAATTGATAATTTTCCCGAATATCCTGGTAAATACACTTTGACTTAAGTAACAATAGGGGCCACCAAACGACGTATAATAACTTTTGACTCAAAAACCAGTATTTCTTAGCATGAAAGCTAGCGATTTGCCTTTGTATGATTAAAACCCGGCTAAATATGTTAAACATTGCTATCAT